CAAAAAAACCCAAACAAATGATTTAAAAAACGGGCAGAGGACCTAAATAGACATTTTTCCAAAGAGGACATACAGATGGCCACAGGTATATGAAAAGATACTCAACATTACTCATCATCAGGGAAATGCAAATCAAAACCACAGTGAGATATCACCTCACACCTGTTGGAATGGCTATCATCAAAAAGACAAGAAATACCAAGTGTTGACAAGGATGTAGAGAAAAGGGAACCCTTGTGCACTGTTGGTGGGAATGTAAATTGATGCAGCAACTATGGAAAACAGTACGGAGCTTCCTCAAAAAATTGAAATAGAACTGCCATATGATTTAGCAATTCCACTTCTGGGTATTTATCCAAAGAAAACAAAAACACTAACTCAAAATGGTATATAAACCCCCATGTTCACTGCAGGATTATTTACAATAGCCAAGATATGGAAACAACCTAATCTTACATCGATGGATGAATGGATAAAGAAAATGTGGTATCTCTCTCTCTCTCTCTATATATATACACATACACACACATATACACATACACCCACACTCTGAAATATTATTCAGCTATAAAAAAGAAGGAAATCCTGCCATCTGTGACAACATGGACCTTGAGGGCAACATGCTAAGTGAAATAAGTCAGACAGAGAAAGACAAATACAATCACGTGCTGCATAACAATGTTCTGGTCAAAGACAGACCACATAAATGATGGTGGTCCCATAAGATTAGTACCAGAGAGCCTAGGTGTGTAGTAGGCTATACCATCTGGGTAAGTACACTTATATCATGTTTGAAAAACAACGAAATCACCTAAGGACGCACTTCTCCGAACATATCCCTGTTGTTAAGTGATGTATGACTGTACTGTATGATCTCATTTATATGTAGAATCTAAAAAAACAAACAAACAAAAAACCTAAATCATAGATACAGAGAACAGACTGGTGGTTGCCACAGGTGGGGGATTGGGGGAGGGGTGAAATAGATGAAGGTGGTCAAAAGGTACAAACTTCCAGTTATAAAATAAATAAGTCCTGGGGATGTAATTACAGCATGATGACTATAGTTAGTAATACTGTACTGTACATTTGAAAGTTGCTAAGAGAGTAGATCTTAAAAATTCTCATCACCAGAAAAAAAAATTATAACTATGTATAGCAATGGATGATAATTAGACTTATTGGGGTGATCATTTTGCAATATATACATATATCATATCACTATGTTGTATACCTGAAACTAATATAATGTTATATGTCAATTATATCTCAATTAAAATAACAAAAAACAGGAAAAAAAATGGTGTTAAAGACACTAAAGTGTAAAACTTTTTCCTTTCTTCCAAAAAACCCACAAAAATCCCCCAGATTAAATCCTTTAAAAAACAAACGAACATGGGGCCAGTCCCGTGGCCTAGTGGTGAAGTTCAGTGTCCTCTCCTTTGGCAGCCCAGGTTTGGTTCCCAGGCACACACCACTTGTGGCCATGCTGTGGTGGGGACCCACAAACAAAATAGAGGAAGACTGGCACAGATGTTAGCTCAGGGCAAATCTTCCTCAGCAAAACAAACAAACAAAAAACCCTGCAGGTGGCATCATACTTAATATTGAAAAATAAACTGATTGCTTCTCCCTAAGATCAGGCACAGGACAACACGTCCATTCTTACTTCTTTTAACATTGTACTAGATGTTCCAGGCAGTACAAAAAGAAAAAAAGAAGAAGAAATATAAGTCATCCAGGTTGGAAAAGAAGAAACAAAATTGTCTTTCTTCCCAGATGGCATGATCTTCTACGTAGAAAATCTGATGAATCTACAAATACGCCATTACAGCTAAGAAGTGAATTTAGTAATATCACAGGATAGAAGACCAATAGATAAAAATCAACTGTATTTCTATACACTAGTATTGAACAATCAAAAATGGAAAACAAACCCAGATTATTTGTAAAAACATCTAGAAATATGATATCCTTATGGATTAATCTAACAAAATACATGAAAGACCTCTACACTACAAAACCCTGCTGGGAGAAATTAAAGACCTAGATAAATGTTGAAATATACCATGTTCAGGGGTCAAAAGACTCAAAATTGTTTAGATGTCAATTTTCCACATATTGATCTATAGATTCAATGCAATCTCAAACAAAATCCTAGTTTTTTTAATATAGCAATGGACAAGCTGATTCTAAAATGCAAATGAAACTACAAAAGACCTAGAATACTCAAAACAACTTGAAAAGGAACAAAGTCAGAAGACAAATATTACCTAATTTCAAGATTTAAAATATAAAACTATAGTAATCAAGACAGCATGTTATTTGTATAAAGATAGACAAATAGATCAATGGAATAGGATCCATAGTCCAGAAATAGACTCACACATGTCATCAATTCCTTTCCAACAAAGGTGCAAAAACAGTTCAGTATCAAAAGGACAGTCTTTTCAAAAAATGGTGCCTGAACAATGGCATACACATATATTTCTAAAAAAGGAAATTTGATCGACAACTTGCAACATATACAAAAATTAACCCCAAATGGACCATAGAGCCACTATAAAATCTAACACTTATAATGCTTCTTGAAGACAATATAGGAGATTATCTTTGTGATCTTGGAGTACAGAAAGATTTCTTGGATACACCATGAAAAGCACAATCCAGGAGCTGCCCTCATGGCATAGTGGTTAAGTTTTGCGCCCTCCACTTAGGTGGCACGGGGTTTGCTGGTTTGGATCCCAGGCATGGGCCTACATACTGCTTATCAAGCCATGCTGTGGCAGGCGTCCCACATATAAAACAGAGGAAGATGGCACAGATGTTAGCTCAGGGCCAGTCTTCCTCAGCAAAAAGAGGAGGATTGGTGGCGGATGTTAGCTCAGGGGTAATCTGCCTCTCTCTCTCTCTCTCTCACACACACACACACACACACACACACACAAAGTGCAATCCATAAAGAAAAAAATTGATAAACTGGACTCCAACAAAATTAAAAACTGTTAAGAGAATGAAAAGACAAAACAGAACTGGGAAAAAATATTTCCAAATCACATATCTGAAAAAAGACAGATATCCAGAATATATGAACAAGTATTAAAATTCAATAAAAAGAAAACAGAAAACCCAAAGAAAAAATGGGCCAAGATCTGAACACATTTTACCAAAGAAGACATACAGATCGTAAATAAGCACATGAAAAGATGCTCAACATCATTAGTCCTTAACGAAACATAAATTAAAACTACCATGCAATACCACTACAAACCTATAGGCTTAAATTAAAACAGACCATATACTGAGTGCTAGCATGTGGAGGAAGCGGAACTCTCATATATTGCTGATGGAAATATAAAATGGCACAGCTAATCTGTAAAACAGTTTAGCAATTTTTTAAAAAGTCAAACATACACTTACCATATCATCCAGGCATTCCACTCCTAGGTATTTACCCAAGAAAAATGAAAACATATGTTTGTACACATACATTCATAGCACCTTTACTTGTAATAGCCAAAACTCTAACATCCATCAACAGGTAAATGTATAAACAAATTATGGTATATCTGTACAATGAAATGCTACTCAGCTACACACACATACGAACACACCTACACACACATCTTTTGATACACACAACATGGATGAGTCTCCAAAGATTTAAGCTGAGTAAAAGAATCCAGACAAAAAAAAGCATATATACTGTATGACTCCATTATATAAAATTCTAGAAAATTCCATATAATCTATGGTAACAGAAAGCAGACCATTGACTGCCTGGGTACCAGAGGTGGGTTGCGGGTGGGGCGGGATGTGTGGATTACAAAAGGGCACAAGGAAACTTCGGAGATAATGGATGTGCTTATTATCTTGATTGTGATAATGGTTTCATGGTATCAAAACATGTCAAAACTTTGTCAAATTGAACCTTAATAAAGCTGTTCAAAAAGTGAACAAACAAAACTGGTACATTTATACAACAGAAATCTATGCAGCAGTTTTAAAGCATGAGGATTCCTAAGAGATAGTGTTAAATGAAAACACAAAGCACAGAGTCCTGAAAGTAATCTGCTACCATTTGTGATTTTCTTTTAAACCAAAAAGGAGACTCAACCAACCCATCCGATAATTGTTTCTACATGCACAGAATAGCTCTGGAAAGATACCCCAAAACTGATGAGAGAGAGAGACAGAACGAAAGACAGAACGAGAGCCAGAGAAGGACGGTGGGTGGGAGGAGGAGAGAGAATGGGAGAGTGAGAGAGAGAGAGAAAGGAGGAGATGGGGGCTAGGCTGGGGTCTTGTGTGGGAGAGAAACGTACTTTTCACTGCACACCTTTTTGAATCAGGATTTCTTCTCCCACAAATGTGCCGCTTTTTGAAACAAACATAAAATGACTATTAATTTCATTTGGGGGGATTTGTCCTACAGGAACACTTGTGGAAATGCCAAAAGCTCTATCTACAAAGCTGTTCACTGAACCCGTTATCGAACGCTAATGAAATTGTCTAACGAAAACAAAAACTGGGAAATATTTATTATATTTAATATATTTTTTTAAATATAGAAAACAATAGCCTAAAACGTACACTCACTCACACACACCTTCTCTCTCCCCCTCACTCTCCCTCTCAGGAAAATCTGGAAGTACACCTACAGACTGTGGACAGTAACTGCCTCTGGGGATGGTCCTACAGGGGGAGGTTGGGGAGACAGACAAAGAAGGGGGAGGTTTGTGTAGTGACTGACTTTCTAAGTTTCTGAATTGCAGGAAACTATTTTTGGTAATATGTGTGTATTTCCTTTTCAATTAAAAAGTCACAATGAAAACTTTTATTTCATTAATTTATTTTTAAAAATTGGGCTATAATTGACATATATATAACTCAATGAAGATTTTTAAAAATTTAAATAAATTATTGGCTTCAGTGTGCAGGGCCACCATAATAGGTGTGAAAGTGTGTTGGTTTTGCACAGGACTTCAGACGGTACTCACCCTTTTCCGCGCTTCAGATTTCTGGAAGCACTCATGCTGTATGAAAGTAGCGGCAGCAGAAATCCTGGACGGTGGCACGTGGTCGGCGTCGAGCATGCTCACGGCTCGCTCCAGAGTCATCTCCATGTCTGCATTCCTAGACAAACAGTCACAGTTTCAGCAAAATTCCAAACCTGCTCCCTCCTGCCTATCAACCTGATCCTCCAGAGATGATGTGGCTAATATGGGGAAGCACCTAGAACACCTAAGTCTTGGCTCTTCTTCAGCCAAAAGAAAAATCAGCCCGAGATCAGAAGGTACAGGAAGCTAGTAGCAGAAACACTCCAGCTCTCGTCAGACCAGCCTCTGAAGATGTCACTGAATTGAGCAGAATCATAACATAAACCAGAAAAAACCTGAACTCAATTTAAAATAAATACGTGTAGTATGACAATTACATATTTAAAAAGTGAGTTTAAAAGCACAATAATGAGGCTGGCCCAGTGGCACAGAGGTTAAGTTCGCACGCACATTCTGCTTCAGCGGCTGGGGTTCACAGGTTCGGATCCCAGGTGCAGACAGGGCACCACTTGGGAAGCCATGCTGAGGCAGGCGTCCCACATACAAAGGAGAGGAAGATGGGCATGGATGTTAGCTCAGGGCCAATCTTCCTCAGCAAAAAGAGGAGGATTGGCAGCAGATGTTAGCTCAGGGCTAATCTTCCTCATAAGAAAAAGAAAAAGAACTACTATAAAAAAAAAGCACAATAAGACTTTACATGGCACTTAAAAGACATTTAGTCACAGAGATGAAAAATTATTCCTACCCTGGTAATGTTACACCTGTAAAAGAAACATCTTCCCTCAAAAGTCATTAGATTTTTCTCAGAGCTGCTCAGAATCTGATATTTTCCTTGAAAGTGAGTTTTTAAAAAACCATTCTAAAAGTGTTCTTATTTAATGAATATAACAGTATATAAACTGTAAAAGCCAGGAAAACTGAGTTCCTTTTGTTAAAATAAGTCATGTCGGTGTGACAGAATCCATCAGGAAAGGTAATGATTAAATGCGATTATAAATATCCTTTTTCTTAAAGAAAACAATTTTATGCACATTCTGTTACCATTCGCTTTGCCACTGTAATGACACAGTTCATGTCTATCTAGTACTCTACTTTGGTCCTTCACTAATTTAGGTAGGTAGGGTGATGATCAGATCTGATGCAGTTTGAAACAGAGAGCATAATTTATGAAGGACAAATAAAACTGTTACTTGTAAACCGATAACTCCCAAATGCCTCATAGAACTATGTTTTCTTCCCCCCTTTTATTTCTGCCTGGAGGGCGACTGGGTCATGCAGTCGCTTGTCACCATGGATGTTAGCACGTTCACGCATAGCCTCAGAGAAACCACACTCCAGACGGCAACATCTTAGAAGTGCAGCTAAAGACATGCCTTAAAGATAACCTATGACCCTTCTTGGGCTTCAAAGAGGGTTATGCCTGATTCACTCCAGGCAATGGAAATTCCAAAGACATCCTGGGAGGGTGTTTTCCAATACCTGCCAGCAAGCACAGTGAGTAAATTCTCTCTTCCATCAGGCTAACCTGCTAATACATGCACAGATGTACAGATGTGAGTGTGTGTAATGTTGTGAATGGTGTGTTTGTGTGTGGGTGGGTGTGGCACAGGTGAGAGGATAAGAGTAATGGGCCTCATGACTAAAAACTAATACCCACTGTTTCCGAAACACATGTTCAAACATAGAAGTGTTACCTCATGAGTATCGGGGTATTAAAAAAGAAGCAGAACGGCTCCAACATCCATACTGAGAATTATATAATGATCTCATATTTTAAAATGTGCCTCAGGAGTCAATTTAATCGGTAAAAAATGTAGGTTATTACCACTGAAACCAGAATTTGAGTCACTTTCATTTAATATAAACACACCTTTTAAAAGAGATGGAAATATTTCACATGCATGGACTCCAATGTCTTTACAGAGAAATCAAAACTCTCAAAGTCTCAATCTTCGTAATAATTTTAAGTCTTTACCAGCCATCCCTTCAGGTGTTTTAACTGATGAAAGATCATTCATAACATAAGAATAGCCTTCTGTTTAATGCAACTTTTTTTAAAAGAGTCAGCCATTAATCAACTTCATAACTCATAAATAAGTCAGGAAAGTTTGAATTTCCCAAGCCTCTAACACCCACAAATAATTCCATTACTCTAATCCTTTATGCTCCTGAACATGATTCACAAACAAGGTCTGCATTCACTCCCAGCCGACCCAACGCTACTTCAGTTTATATGAAAAACAATCCCCCACTGAGCGAAGCCTTCCTCCACAAGAAGGTTGCTTCAACTGTCAGAGCATCAATTTTCTGTTTTCTTGTCGTCTGTGAAGTCCAACTCCATAACGTGCTGGCAGGGTATGTTCTGACCCAATCTGGCTCCATCTCGCCATCTTCAACTCCCTCTCTTCCCCCTCCTCTGATCGACTATCCCATCCTCCAATCACACCAGACTTTTAAGCCTTCTCTAAACACTGCATGCCTCTTCACAAGCCACTCTCTCTGATTTTTCTAGAAAGCCCATTCTTCTACGTAATTCTGATCCATTCTTCAAGAGTCTACTCCAATCACGTGTGTGCAGTCTTTCCTGTGCCCCTATATCCTCAGCTAGAGCTATTCCTTTCCTCCTCTCTCCTCCCACACCACTCCTCCCTCCATCCCTTTCTCTCTCTGTCTCTTTCTTTTCCTCCTTTCTTCCTTCTCTCTCATTCATAAGACACTTCTTGAAGCTTGCAGAAAAGTGGCTTGGAAGATGCAGTTAGGGAGGAGAGGATCGGGAAGAGCAGTTGTTCCCGAATCAAACATCCCCTGAACATATTCTCCGGAAGGGAATCTTTTCAACAGCCTGAGTTAATATGTTAGAATGAAGTCACTGTAAATTAAAAATGTAAGAGGAAGCATGTAAAACATCACTGGTCAGAATATAAGATATTATAGGGGAAAAAAGGTACTTCTTTTATGTGTGCAATCCCTCAGCAACGAGCATTCCTGCCAACTAACACCACAGCCCTGCCCCAGGCTGGTTCCCAGATAGCAGAATCGGGCTGCACCTCTGAAGGCCAAGTAAACACGAGATGATAAGGGAAAGCTCCTGTGTGCTGTTAGATGCTCAGGAAATGAGAATTCCCCTACCTCTCAAAGATGTTAAGTATGATGAAAGCACCACTTCGGGAAGATGACTTTGGAGTGGATACGTGTTTCTAGAGACAGTTTTAAGGGCACTACAGGAGTCTAAGCGGAGGCACTAAAACCTGAAACCGGGCTGTTAAAAATGAAAATGGAAAGAAAGATACAGTTGAAAGAGACTTGAAGAATCAAAGAACTAAAGAAGTTGGTAATTAAGAGGATGCAGAGGGAAGTTAATATGACATCTCTTCTGCTCTGTGCTACTCTGTCACGACCTTGACTGGTGATCCTACCAGAGAGCCAGTCTCTCCCCTTAGTCTCCCTCTACCACTCCCAGAGCTCACTGCTCTTCTGTTCTCTGAATTCCTGTAGACACTAGTCTGTACCACATAACCTAGCACTTGATGATGTGTCTTACTTTCTCTTGTATTGATCCTCTCCGAGACCATGATGTATCTCACTGAATTTTTATCTCTTATGGTGCTAACTGCAGTGCAGGATACACTGGAGGAAGCTAATATTCATTTAAGGGACCACCAGATCCCCCATAGGTACACAAATTGTATTTTCAGAAAAATCGGTCTAGAATTTTTTACTTGGTGATTTCTTAAACCTTTTTCATCAATCTGATTTAGAACAGGTGCTAACTGTCTCTCTTTTACTCCAATGTCTTGGTTTTCAGCGGCATTAGTAACTGTCTGACCAGTCATTTTTTTTGTTGGAAGGAAAGATCCATTGTTTAATACCTTATGTCATTACATAGATTTATAGTTTTATCTAGCTACTCTACAGGAATGTTCCACAAATGTAAAAGAACACTTCTCTACATGTGGAACTTTCACTAAACACAGTAAAGTAAATCCAAAAAATAGTGGCACCATAGAGTTGGAAATGTGAGATGATGCAGGGCAAGGGAGAGCAAAGCACACGGTCTCAGATGCAGGACTCTCAGGCGGCAGCCTGGGGAACTGAAATGAGCCCTGGGGCACCCAGAGGAAAGAAGAGAGGCAGGCATAGATGCCACTTTGATCATTTATTTTCCTTATTCTAGGAAATACCTCTGACCCCCTTTCCTTTCCAGAGAGAGCAAAATCTTTGAGAAGAGTTCATTTCTATGATTTCTCCAGGATGGCAACTTTGGGAATCATTAAAAATAGGTTTCTTGCCCTTTATTTCAAATTTCCTGATCCAAAGTGCTCCTTCTATTCTTTGAAATATAATTAATTATTCTAATAAAATTTACCCTGTCCATTAAAACAATAACCCGAAACAGAATGGTTAATATTTCTTCTAGAATTTGAGCAACAAAAGAACCTAGATGGCAAAAAGTGAAGAGTTCATATTTTATTCCTTCCTTAATTTATTCATTCTTTCATCAGAAATTTATACGATGCCTATCATGGGCCTACCTCTGTTTTAGGGTGCTAAGCATCATACAAAGATGATGACACTTACAAGTAGCTCGAAGTCTAGAGGGAGAGCAGATGAGTAAAGGAGTAACCACAACATATTCTTCTAGGAGAGACACCCACACAGTGTAGCTACCTGGGCACCTAAACTAGATTGTGAGGGGCGTGGTCAACAAAAAGGTGGTATGTGAGCCAAATCCAGATCATGACTAGCTAGGCAAAGCCAGAGATGCTGAGGGTGAAAGAGACGGCTAGCCAGCTAGCTAGATAATAAAAGAAGGAAGGGAGGGAGGGAGAAAGGAAGGAAGGACGGAAGGGAGGATGGAAGGAAGGAAATATATGAATGAATATATCCTCCATTAAGGGGAGTAAAAGAGGTTCCAAGTGTCTTAAGTGTTTGTGTGGGGGTGTGTCTGGGGATGGCAGTATTGAAGGGTAGAGGGGAGTATAAAGAAATGAGACTGGAATGATAAGCAGAGGTGAAAACATGGGCCTTGTGTGCCATGCTAAAAACCACAAAAACTTGGTGGAATTTTGGAAAGTTTATAAACTAGGGAGAGAAATCATCAGATTTGGGAAGATCATTCTACCAGTCCTAGGGAACCGTTCTGAGCGAGGAAGACGAGAGGCAGAGAGACCTATGCGTGGAGACAGAAAGAAAGGCAAAAATTGAAGACCCATTAAGGAGATAAAAATATGGCTCGGTGACATGTGACTGTGGAAGGAAAAGAACGACTTGCAGGTTTGTAAACGGTAGGACTTTAGTATGAGGAGATGGTTAGGAGTAGAGGGTAGGGAGGAGCAGATAAATTTAGTTTTGGATATACTGAGTTTGGGATGTCCAGGAGGCTATTAGAAATACTCAGAGCTCTAGAATTCAGGGTGGAGGATAGTGCTGAAGAGAAAACCTTAGGAATCACAGGATACAAGTGTAGTCCATAGGACTCTCTGAAACAGCGCCAAGATGTGAAAGAGAAGGGTTATGGGAGATGACTTCTCTGGGCACGCAGAAAAGGAGCATCAGGGAAGACTAAGAAGAAATGACTGGAGAAGTGAGAGGAAAACCAGGAGAGGCTGGTACCCTGAAAACCAAGGGAAGAGAGAATTTCAGAGAGAGTGGTGTCAAATGCTGCCCTTAGGGTGAGTAGCATAAGGACTGTACATGTCTGCTCTGCATGTAGTGATAAGGCAGTCACTGCTACACTGGTGAGAAGAATGTTTCAGTTAAATGGTGAGGACTGAAGCCATATTGCAGTGGGTTGATGAGAGACTGGAAAGTGACAGGGTAGTTTAAGAAGAATGTGGGAGACAGAGAGATGGAGGAAGAGAACAACGCCAGTTGTTGGAGGATGTGGCAGGACAGTTTTATTATTGTTAAAATCACTTTGTTAAAACTGTGCTGAGCACAAATCCTAGTCTATCGAAGACATTTAATAAACTTTGAATTATCCATTTAAAAGACTTGATCAGCTTTTGCCTCCATAAATAATTACCTCATGCATTTTTCTTCTTTATAACTGTGTCCATATTGACAAACATCTGCTTTCTACAAAAAATGTTAGAAGTCTCATGCTCAATTTTACTTTACAAGAAATATTTCCTGCTTCAAGATTAGGTTAGCCCTGGGGGCCGGCCGGGTGGCACAGTGGTTAAGTGCGCAGGTTCCCCTTCTCAGCGGCCCCGGGGTTCGCCGGTTCGGATCCTGGGTGCGGACATGGCACTGCTTGGCAAAAGACATGCTGTGGTAGGCATCCCACGTATAAAGTAGAGGAAGATGGGCATGAATGTTAGCTCAGGGCCAGTCTTCCTCAGCAAAAAGAGGAGGATTGGCAGTAGTTAGCTCAGGGCTAATCCTCCTCAAAAAAAAAAAAGATTAGGTTAGCCCTCACATCTTTTATTACCAGTGCCTGCCTAGTCAATGAGCATACCGCACAATTTCACTTAAAGGGATGATTAAAGGTAACAACTTCCATTAAGCAACTTTAGAAATCAAACAAAAATCACATATTTAATACTCTACCGCAAGGATATCACATCATCATTTCAGGAGATACTGATTTAATCATCTATCCATCTCTCAACCTTTCTTTTACTTTTTTTATTTTTTATTTTTTTGAGGAAGATTAGCCCTCAGCTAACTACTGCCAGTCCTCCTCTTTTTGCTGAGGAAGCCTGGCCCTGAGCTAACATCCGTGTCCATCTTCCTCTACTTTATATGTGGGATGCCTACCACAGCATGGCGTGCCAAGCGGTGCCATGTCCGCACCCGGGATCCGAACCAGCGAACCCTGGGCCGCCAAGAAGCAGAACGTGCGAAATTAACTGCTGCACCACCTGGCCGGCCCCTTAACCTTTCCTTTAGTAACTTCCCCAGTTTATGAAATTTGTGCTTCAGTATTAAATTTGAATAAGGGTCAAGTTCCACAGACTAAATTAGTGAAGCCATAAAGTAAATGGGAGAGACAAAAGAATGACTTTGAAAATTCAGTTAATTATTCAGAATTGCCAAAAAATACTCTCCAATCACTGATACTAGAATCAAAAAGTAAAAGTTTCAGGAAACAAAGGCAAGAAAGAGACATCTGGAAATTACCTGCCTTTGCTTAGCTCTCAGTCTTTCTATGATGGTAGTTATCAAAATCACATCTGAGGGTCATGCCTAGCACCAGGAATAAGCACTTTTGCCTTTTTCCTTCCTTAATTTCAAGGAAGGATTGAGAAAATGCAAGCAATTATCCAGTTCTTGGTCTACCTTGGAGCTAGCTCTCGTTCACAGCAGATTTTCACATAGCCAAGGGTCAGCCACCCCTTCAGCCAGCATCTAATTTGGAACAGATGGACTCAAAGTCACATTTCCCTGCAAAGTTGCCATTTGAACAGGTAGCTTGGCCCCTGTGCCCGAGGTAAATAGGCTAATCTGTCAATTAGGCAGCTGCCTGAAAAGTCATTATTTTAATCGCTTATCTCTGGAAGCCTTTCTCTGCAGCCCCAGAAGTGCCAGCTCATGCTGTAAGGGCTGCGGGAACAGAACGTGCTGGCACCGCCTGCGCTGCAGATTGAGAAGGGGACTCACCCAAGGTGGGAGTCAGTGAAAGCGCTCCTCTCCACGAGCATGTTCCCACTTCCTCCTGCTGCCGCTTGGCCAACGGTCATGTGCGTCCTCCTCCCGCCTGAATCGACAGTGACGCTGGGCCCGGCTTCCCGCACCGTGCGGGTGCTGTGGAAGGAGCTCTGATGCCAGGAGGCCCGATTGACCCTGTTCTGACTGATGGGCTGCAGGGGCACCAGCGGCTTCACCTGCCCAGCAACAGACCCTGAAGTCATGTAGTTCTCCTTCTCTAAGAGGTTGCCCATGCTGTAGCTGGTCCCAGGCCTGGGGTACATGAACACCAGCGGGTTGACAGGGGCACCATCAACAGAATCGTTAACAGACCCGTACTGGTACCGTCGATGGTAAGTGTCGTAGTGGCGATGTCTGCTCACGGCCCCAGAGTGGGTTAAACCAACAATTTCTGAGCGAGCGTATCTCGGGGGCATAAGCAGCGTGGATCTCCTGCTGTCTTGGTGCTGCAGAGTGTGCCCGGCCTGGCTTCTCTGGCTGTACTGGTAATCACTGTGTGAGTAATGCACCCTCTCAGGGCTGCTGTCTGGAGAAATCTCAAGTCTCCTCAGAGGCTGCCGCAAGGATCTTTCTTCCATGGACTTCTGTGAACTGTACTGAGCAGTTCCTCTCCCCCAGCGACCTTCGTAAGTGGCGGTGGTGCCTGTCTGCACAAGACAGAAATAAAGTTTAAACGAGGCATAAATCAGTTTTCATCTTCGTTGAAGACTAACTCTTCCAGGACTATTATACAAGGTGTCCATTTCTCGGAATCACATGGAGAAGTTGGCCCCTTTCTGGGTAAAAATCTGTTTTTACATAAGACCTGGTGGATTTGGTTGACTAGTTATTTGCACTGGAGTTTGACGTCATTTACAGTCCCCAGTTTTCCATGGCATCCACACAAAATCAATCTTCTCATAATTTACTCAGGAAATAGTAATACTTGGGAAATGATAATATTAAAAAAATAGTCTATGGAAGATTAAAAACATTCACATGGTAATCCGATAACAGGAGTTATATTCTTTGGTGTCCTACCTTGAGCATGTCATAGGTTTTGGTAACAGGGGAACGCCCGCCAACAAAATCATTTTCAACCAAGTGGAGGTTGTAGACATACTCAGGAACACTGCTGGTTCGGTGAAGATTTCCTACAATCAAGCATATATTAAAGTGATATAAATGGGCCAATCAGTAGTTCAAGACTGTATAACAATAATATTTTTTAAATTTAAGTAATTAAGGCCAATAGCAAGTATCAGATTTATATTAGTGTTTTGAAGTGCTGGTTTAACATTACCCTTGGATGTGGCAAATGATCAAAGGTTATCACAACATTCTGTATGAGCCTTTCAAAATAAGAGTTGAATTAAAAATTAAAAAAAAATTTTTTAAAGTAGTCATTTATTTGTTTAAAATAAATTTTCTTTTTGAGGAAAGGGAAGAAAGGAAAGAGGAGATTTTCACAAAAATCCAAAAGCGTTATGAGGCTGAAGAATCCGGGAATCATTCCATGGGTTAACGGTCTATACTATAAAAGTGCAGTTTCTTAAGTCAGACGAGAACTCTACTCCCAGGGCAGGAACTCAGAACCTTCCGAGAAGCAAGCAGGTGTAGGCAAGAAATATAAAGGTGACAATAAATATAATGGTGACTCAACTTTACCAGATAAGACAGGCTGTATAAACAACAAGGTGGGTCAGTGTGGTCAAAGAGAATACGGATCAGCTTGAAACAGTCAAGCCTGGGGTTGAAGTATTTGGCAACGGGACAGTTTGGCAGCAGAGGAAATCAACTCTGCACTGCCAGTGAGGGCTCCTGTGGAACCACCCGGCTCTTCTCAGCTTGGTGGTCTAATAGCCAGCCCCCTCTCCTGCTACACTGAGTAGGAGGCACCCCTTCCTGCTCAGCTCCGTGGGGCCGACAGGGACTCTCACTGGATGCTTGTCTCCTAAAATACTCCTTCTTGCACACGAAATCAACAATCCAAAGAGATATATGCACCCTATGTTCCCTGCAGCATTATTCGTAACAGCCAAGATGTGGAAGCAACCCAAGTGCCCATCAACTGATAAATGGATAAAGAAGATGTGGCATATACATATACAATGGAATACTATGCAGCTATTAAAAAAAAAGACAAAATCTTCCCATTTGCAACAACATGGATGGACCTTGAGGGGGTTATGTTAAGCGAAATAAGCCAGACAGAGAAAGACCAACAATGTATGACTTCACTCATATGTGGAAGATAAACAAATCCATGGATAAAGAGAACAGATTAGTGGTTACCGGGGGGACGGGGGCTGGTGGAGGTCGAAAGGAGTAAAAGGACACACATTTCTGGTAATAGATAAAAATTAGACTACTGGTGGTGAGCACGATGCAGTCTATAACGAAATTGATATATAATAGTGTACACCTGCAATTACACAATGTTATAAGCCAACACGACCTCAGTAAATAATTGAAGGGACCAGCCTGGTGGTGCAGCGGTTAAGTTTGCTCGTTCCGCTTCAGTGGCCCGGGGTTTGCTGGTTCGGATCCCAGGTGCGGACATGGCACTGCCCATCAAGCCATGCTGTGGTAGGCATCCCACATATAAAGTAGAGGAAGATGGGCACGGATGTTAGCTCAGGGCCAGTCTTCCTCAGCAAAAAGAGGAGGATTGGTAGCAGATGTTAGCCCAGGGTTAACCTTCCTCAAAAAAATAAAAAATAATAAAATAAAATAAAATAAATAATTGAAGAAACTAATTAAAAAATAAAATAAAATAAAATAAAATAGTCCTCTTTGAGGAGGGGGTGGTTTGAAGACAGTATTGTGATCCTCTTGTACCTCCTTTATCCTTCTCCCACTTTTTATTTGTTGGTCTGCTGTAACCCCCTACTGCCTTACAAAAAAAAAAAGCTAATCAAAATAATCAAAGATCTCTAAAACCTAGGTAATTTCTAGTTCCATAATTTTAACCAAAGTTTCTTTTTCTGTCATGTAGCATTCTTTTAGAAATCAGAGGAAAAAATACTCTTCTAGGCTTCAGAGACTCGTGAAAGATGTTGAGAATACAACAGCCCAGGCAGTCCCTTTCCAAAACAGCTGGAACGTACCAACATACTCTTCCGATAAATGGTTATAAAGTCTAAATTTCATAAAGTTGAATAGATTCACAAGTTCTTTTGAGGGTGAAGGGGAATGGGGACTCTTGTTGCCAGAGAGCTAAAAAGTATGAATCCATCCCAAATTATGTTTGTATATGTGTCTTACGTCCTGGAGCCAAACAATCTGGCTCGTAAACAAGTTTCAGGCCTCAAGGGGTCCTGGGGGAGACAGCTGCAGGCTTGTAACTGTCACCCTAAAGACCAGATAAGTTGAGGGAAGCCAGGCATCTGCTGTTTCTAGGTGCCTGGTTTATCCACAAGGGCGGGCAAAAGGTCAGGCAGCCCCTTTATTTTTAACCTCGATGACAGAAAACGCCTGGAACCTGGACACTGACTGAGGAAAAGCAATCTTCTCTATGACCCCAGGGCAAAAGTGGTGAGAAGCCTTAAGGACTCAACTCTCCATGGCTGCCAGAGGCTCCTGCCCAGGCTGCCCAGGTGGTCTGTGGTCCCCAACTCCGTCCCCACTATTCCTCCACTCTCCCCCACCCCTCCCCACGGGCTATCAGGGAGGCAGGGCTGCAAGGGTCCTGGTGGTGTGGGAAAGGAGGCTAGCTGGGCAGGCCCAGGGAACATCCTGGCTCCAATCCTGAAGGGTCTGGGGACCAGGGTGCCCTCAGCACTGGGGATGTAGAGAGGGGGCAGGGGGTGGGTAGAGGGGAGTGCTTAAACTGGGCTCACTCCAATAAAACAGAAGCCTTTGCTGCAGAGGTTGTGTCCAGGCAGAAAATTTTTGGTCAGTTGATACATAAGAATCCAAATTTATTGTCTTATAAAATATAGTTATAGGGCTGGTCCAGTGGCATAGTGGTTAAGTTTGCACACTCTGCTTTGGTGGCCTGGGGTTCGCAGGTTCGGATGCTGGGTGTGGACCTACACACCACTCGGCAAACCATGCTGTGGCAGTGTCCCACATACAAAATAGAGGGAGACTGGCACAGATATTAGCTCAGTGACAATCTTCCTCAAGCAAAAAGAGGAAGATTGGCAACAGATGTTAGCTCAGGGCCAATCTTCCTCACCAAAAAAAAAAAGTTACGGGGTATCCATGTTCAAAATTTTAGATTGCATGAACACTGACTATATGAAAGTCAGGGACAACCTAGAATGGGAAAATACTAATGGCATATATGGATGGTAGCTGGAACTGTTATTTCCTCTTACTCTATAATAAAGTGGCAGATGATGAAGGGTGCAATTTCAGAAATCCAAGAAAAGGCCTTCAGTGGGCCCCTCAGGCCCCTCATCGCCTGCAGTATCACCCTTGCTCTACTTCCAGGAGCAGAAAGATATTCAGGAACAGTTGATAGGGGGCTTCTCCATCTTTAAGCTGAGATTCCTGCAAGGATTTTTTAAAATGTGTAAGAATCTTTGGACAGGATCCTGTGAAATGGTGTCAAGAGAGCTGATCAGGGAGCTTTAGAATCAGGCCCGTGGAAGTAAAATGTGGAACTCACACTGATGCTGGGGGTTGTAAGGCTTTTTAAAGCAACTTACACGAACTCCTTACCTTTCAATATTACTTTTCTTTAAGGAGCTCAAAAATTATTTTATCTTCTTTTCAGTATTCGGTGATGCAGAGCCAGCTATTATCATCTCCCTTTATAAACAGGGGAACTTCAATTACTTGCTTTAAATTGCAAAGAGATTTCATAACAGGATGAAACTCTGGGTTCCTCCTTTCCACTGGTCTCTGCTGTTTGACAGCATCGTGGCTTTTCTGAAACTGCCATTTCTCAATGCCCTGGAGGGATTATTAGCATCGTTTTTGATAGGAGAACCAAAAACAATCATTCTCTTTCCTCCAGAACCTTTACCTGGGCAACTCCAAATACTCTGTAAAAATAGTAATTCTTCATTTGCCAACGTAAGTCCTTGTGAGGAAGCTTCTCCTTCAGTTTTCAGATGAATGAACTGAGACCAGTTTACTGGTTCCCAAAATAACTACAACGTGGTTGGTAACAGGGAATAAAATAAGATTGGATATTTAAACCATGGACTCTCCTCCTGTGCCAGAAAGATGGTGACTCCTGATACTCCACTCGCAGGCTGGCACAGGAGATGGTTTTTCTGGTTAAAAGGCCAATCTCAAACAACAAATACTGCAGATTAATTTGCCTAGGCAGTCATGAGTTTGAGATCAGTACAGTGGATTAAAGCTGAATTAGCAGCTGTGTTCTAAGATTTTAAAGAAATTTTGAACTGAGTGGAATTTTTTTTTAAAAAAGGTAACTATAATCAGGATGGAAACTAATCTCTTTAAGGCAAGTCATGATTTTCTGTTCAGCCAGAGAATAAAATATATAATAATGACTATGGAACATATAAAATAATTCAGCGATGCCCTTTTACAAAAATTGGAAACAAGAAAGCAAATAAAAATATATTATACACACAGGCACGATCTGCTTTAAAGAAATCCAACATGAAAATCCAGATTTTCTAACATGGAAAATTAGGGCATGAGTATATTTCAAAGCATTCGTTTACCTCACAAAAGGAGGTAGGTATCTTTTCCAGGCCAAAGAAATCCATGGACTTTGTCTGGAGGCTCCACTCCACGACTTTCTGTGAGCCTGGACAAATCACTCAGATTTGTTTCCTGAAATTCCAGCTACTAACCGAGTTGCTGAGAGAGACGTTTACCCGAGAAAGCACACATTCAAATGCTTCGAAAATTGTAAAGCAACATGCAAAACGGAGATACGGTTTTTAAAACAGAATTTGGGTCACAAAAATTTGTCTTTTTACACTTTTTCATGAATTAATCTGTTCTAGAAAGAGAGAGAAACTAGTTGCATGCTTTCATTGACACTGTGGTTGTATTTCAGAGTTTGCATTCCGGTAAACTTACCAGTGGTATTGAATTTGACTTTTTCTGGTTATTTTTTATTGATCCAGCCACTGAGGATCACGATGACATGATTGCGGTTTTTCCAGTCCATTATTTCACTTGCACAAGGTCATGAGTTATAGGGAATACTTCAGATTAA